CGACGATATATGAAAGGGCGTTGGAATGTTTAACGTACGTCAGAGGAACAAAGCTGAAGGATCTGTAGATGCGAATTGAGTCAATTATCAGATTGCTCGTAAATTGTCCGCTGAATACGTATTTAAACTGAGAATGGAGAATCCAAAAAGCAACTAACTGAAGGATCAACTACATAGCACATGACTCTGTCAGAAACTTCAAAGCGCAGCAGCTGTAAATAATACAATAAGTACTATTTAGATCATTTTTGCATGAATTTCCACGTAAAACAAATTCAATTACTTTGTATAGCTAGTGGGAATAGAAAGGCTCAGAAATTGGCGAAACACCCTTCGTTCCACGATATCGATTGTTTGAAAAACGATGCGTTTAAAGGGTAGTAGGCAACTAACATTACTTCGAATGTATTTTGTTTGGTATACCTTCAAGGGGATATATTCCCCGTGCAGCAGCAATATGTTAGAAAAAGTAAAAATAAAATAGAGTCAGAAAAGTATTTAAATGTAAAGCAAGAAACGCTTTTTGTACGTCATTTAAAATGAAATATAGAAAAGTCGTTTAAAATAATTTCCAATGGGATAGTTTCAGTTCATCTATTTGCAATAACGTTTACATTAGCTTATTATGGGTATTTTATTAAGTGTGCCATCCCTTATGCTTCGGTTGTATAATCATTATTGCATGTAGAGGCGTCTTTGTGAATTTTTTTATTTGGGAATTTGGTTCTCAACATTGACAAAATCAGTTGGGAGTGGAGATTGGAAATATTGAAGAGACTCAAGCTGTAAAAATATGGAGGGCCAACAACTGAAAGAGAATCGTGGCCATAAAAAGCATTTGTCATCAAGCGCATTTATTTCTATATTTCTGATTTCCATTTTCAACTGTCTATAACGACTCGAACGTCTAGTTTCAATTGAGGTCTAAAGTCCCATTTAAGTCCCGAATGAGTCCCTATCTTATTTTCTTTCCGCTTGTTTCAGATGCTCTACGAAGAAAGTTAGATCAGGAAAACGAAGAAAGAAGAAAAGGTAGTAAAAAAAGTTGTGGCCATTGCAGTATAACTTAGTAAAGTTGAGTTACATTTTTGCGTTCAATGAATCTTATGATAAACGAACATATCGTGTACCTATATCGATTTATATAATACCTATAAGTATATTTCACAACCTATTTTTATATTTGTGTAATCTGAATGGTAGCTCTATTTATATAAATTGAATTATATACACGATTTTTTCAAGTCTTTCTATCGAAACGTTTGGACCAACTTATGTATAAAAGGTAAAGATCGTCAATGTATTTGCACTAAATGAAAATGGTTAAAGCACTGAATCCAAAATTTTGATTATACACAAAATTAACGAATAGTCTGCTTTATTGAGCTGTCATACAAAGTAGGTGTGATATCGACATTGAAATTTGTCAATTAGATATATCATTTGTATCGACAATTTAGATGTATGGATGCTGTAAATGTTTAATCTCGCTTTCACAGTTACCTACCTAATTATATAGTTTATTTAAAGATTATATTCCAACTAAAATCTAAAGTCCAAAAGGTCTTTGTGTTTGTTTTTATAAATAAAAGGTTACATTTGACTGACTTTTTTTATTATTTATCCAAATGGTTTCTCTACTACAAGACGCAATCAGAACAAATACCAAATCTGGATCTGCAGTAGTACCTACAGACTTTTTTTGTAGATTGTACTGCAAACAACTCGTCACAGCAACAAAATATAATGCTAAGGTAATGTTTCTATTTTTTTCGGTGGTGGTCGAATCTTAAAGATTGTGATTTTTATCTATTGTAGGTACATACAAAATTCTACTAGAAAATACTTTGTAATTAAACACTTTTATGGAAGCAGTATTTGTATTTGTAACTCAAATACCAGTACATTCACAAATATTTAGTATTCGTATACTTAGCAAAGTTTTTGGATACTTAACCCTCCTTTTTTACCAAAAATCGACTGCAACAAAATTTCTCGGGAAAACACTTTTTCTTTTTAATTTTGGTGCGTAGAATCCAAAACAATTCGTACTTTTTCGATCAGACTTCTCAATAAAAAGTTATAGACTAGAAACCAATTTCGAAAGAAAATTTAAAGGGCTGTAACTTTGGAACTAGTAGCCCAATCTTGGAACTGTTTGAAATTATGGATTCTACAGGCCACATTTTATAAGAAATTTTTTTTCCGTGTCGATCTGAGACAATTTTTATTAAGCGCCTCAAAAAAAGGCAGTGTATAACCTTCTTTTTTTTACCAAAAATCGACTGCACCAAAATTTCTCGGGAAAACACTTTTTCTTATTAATTTTGGTGCGTAGAATCCCAAACAATTCGTACTTTTTCGATCAGACTTCTCAATCAAAAGTTATAGACTAGAAACCAATTTCGAAAAAAAATTCAAAGGGCTGTAACTTTGGAACTAGTAGCCCAATCTTGGAACTGTTTGAAATTATGGATTCTACAGGCCACATTCTATAAGAACATTTTTTTTCCGGGTCGATCTGAGACAATTTTTTTTTCGGGGCTCAAAAAAAGGCAGTGTATAACCTTCCTTTTTTACCAAAAATCGACTACACCAAAATTTCTTGGGAAAACACTTTTTCTTATTAATTTTGGTGCGTAGAATCCAAAACAATTCGTACTTTTTCGATTAGACATCTCATTAATACCTACTCATTTCTCTGCCAATGTTATGGTTGTACATCATACCTTTCTTATGAAACAAGAGGATCCTCTAGGCCCTGTTCTATTCTGTATCGCTATTGATGATCTTACCCGATTAATCAATATTGATTTCAACTGCTGGTGTCTTGACGATGGTGCGATAGGTGGTGACAGAGATTCTGTATTAAAAAGCTTTAACGATATCAGTCACCTGTCCCACCAAATTGGCCTTGAAATTAATTTGGCCAAATGCGAGTTACTTTTCTTATCAACTCCTCTTGTTAATGATATAATTAAATTTAATTCAATATTTCCTGACATTGAATTACCCGCAAGATCTCAATGGAATATACTTGGCGCTCCTATTACTAATGAAACTTCACCTGAATGTATACGTGAGAAAACTCAACTTCTCTCATTATTAGATGACATTCCTAAACACATACCTTTTAAAAAACTACCTTGCAATACCTAAAATGATATATATTTTAAGATGTAGCTCATCATGGCATCGCATAGACGAATTGGAAAGTTTTGGACAATCAAACGTGTATTATTCTCGAAGACATAACGAACAACTATTTAGAAGATACATCATGGACCCAGGCCACATCGAGCAAAAATGCTAAAATATATAATTATCGGAATTTGACGAAGTCATACCTTTTCTTCCCAGTGGCTGTAGAAACTTTAGGTGTATGCGGTCAACAAGCTTATAAATTCATTAATGAAATTGGAAAAAGAATATTTCTGATTCTTCAAACGATACCCGTGCAAACTGCAAGCAGTTTCCTTTTTCAACGGACTAGTATTGCCATCCAAAGAGGATATGCTGCTTCAATATTTGGAAGCCTACCAACATATAAACATTTTAACGAAATCTTTTATTTGTCGAATGCCAATCAATTCAAAAATTCATTTAAAGTACAATTATTTAAAAATAATAAAATTTAATTTTATAAGATGTAAATTTACTCTGTAAATTACTCTGTAAAACTATTCTACTTTAATAAATCACGTATCTTTAATTTAAAAAAATGCTTTAGTGGAAAACAATTTTGATTCCAGGCTCTATTTCTTTTATCCTGAGTAAAGTAAACATCAATTGAATACATCTACTACGATACCTTAAAATAGCTCACAGGTACAGGTGTTTTTTTTTGTACCTAGGTTCAAAGTTGACCTGCTAAATAAGCAAAAGAGAAACGACAGGGAAGACAAGACAAGGGGCGCGCCAGAAATTGACATAAGTGTTAGGGACGTAGTATTCATCAAGAATGTCGCCGTCCCCCATAAACTGATTTCGACTTTTAGCAAATACGCATCAGGTTTAACAACGATCCGGAAATGAGCTGGTTCTGGAGGAAGCAGGGCGTATATTATTCGGCGACACTTCAATTACACTCTCTCAGCAGCCTGATGCCGTATCACCTACTTCGAAACTACCAGATCGAGAGCTAAACAGCTTTTGGAGGCGATTCGAAGCCATTTTGGCAATAAAATCGATATTTATTGAATTGTATAACTTTATAGGGAGCAGATCGATTTGACTGAAATTTTGTACTGATGTTCTTTCTAATGGTTCTGAATGCTGAGTGATAGTTAATATTAACCTCCCGAGTGCGTTTTTTAAAAATAGAATATGGTTTTGAGTTCCCAAGTGTTTTAGAGAATTTTTTCGAAAGAAGTTCCCATTAGGTGATGGTTTTGTCTGTCTGTCCGCCTGTTCCTCGTCTAACTCGAGAACGAAAAGAGATAGCGATGTCAACCCTCTAATCAATTTCTGCTAGTTCAAGGATAATATGAGCCGCATTAAAAGTTGCGTATCTTGTTTTTCTTTTGGAGGGCGGATGGCACGGAACCTCGAATTACCGCGACCTTACTGTGGTTTCGCCTCGGAACGTAGCTTGACTCTCGGTTCTATGCTCCCTGCCTCGCTCCCGCTCGTTCCACTTGTCGTTGGAAAGAGAAAATGAACTACATTTCACGAATTTAGGGGGCATTACGCATGAACCTCTTACATTTGCACCCAATAACGCGCGTCCAATCACACTCGCATTTTATAAAGTCTGAAAATTAATGAAAATTTAGCATCTTATTGGACTCATTCTTCTTATTAATCCCTTTTGTAGTGGTTGGCACGGGGCCCCCGCTGGCTCGGCTTCTTTAAAGCCCCTGACTAAATCTGCCGCTGGCTAAAATCGTTAGATAGTATTGTTTGTATACTACCATACTAATCGGTCATACTATGTTTCTGTTTGGTTCTAGAAACTGAAATTTGTAATACAAAAAAAGGTCTTTTAAAACTGCTTACAAATTTATATTTAGATTTGTGCCTTAAGTTCATTACATTACAATAAATTGAAGCTGGCTGTAGGCATTCTAGTAGTTAGATAATAAATTAAAGTGCCATTTTAGTTCAAATCAAACATTTTGAAAATAAAAGTAAAATTCAATCGACTTCATTCTCATTTGGGACAATGCGGATGTTATAACTATATAACTTTGTACAAAAATATATTTGTTTTTACATTTTCTTAATCTACTCAATATATATAATAAATAAATTACAAGGTACTTTACGTATAATAAGATTCTGGTAAATTGAGCATTTGTGCATGAATTAAATAAAAACTCTGGCATTACACCTACATTACTGAAAGTACTAACCTTACAATACTGATATTTTACCAGGTACACGGATTTAATCTGTACTTTATTCAGAAATACATTAAGAGAGACCCTCACATAATCAATGTAAACGTAGTTAGTAGCAAATAAGGCCAATCTTAGCGTTTAACCATTGAAATTGTTATGTATTTACATAAGTACTGATATTACAACGAATAAAGCTATTAACCGTTTAATTCTATACTTATTTCAGTCTTGTGTAGAAAGGTGAAAGCTTGAATTCTGAGTAACTAACTTAGCAAGTACAATCTAAGATAGTGAGGTAGAACAAAAATCAGTCCTATGGTTACTATTTGGGCAAATCTTTGGATAGCTATTAAAACGGATTTATACGCAAATAAGGTATAAATAAGCAACCAACTTAAAAAATATAAATTTAACAACTGTACAACTATTTACAAACTAAATTGGTGCATTTACTCCTTCCGTTTGTTTCAATTATTGTGAAGTGTTAATTTAGTTGTCAAATACGACATCGATTAAGACTAAAGACCAAGACATCGTTCAAATGGCAGTTAGAAATAGGGAAAGGAACAGTACAAATGAAATAATAATTATGAAACTTTATCAGCTAGATTGTTGGGTCAGTAGATTTAGTAATTCTGAAGGGTCCATATTATTAAAAGTTGGCATGTCTATACCTAGGGCATCTGCGACACTTTCCATATCTAGACCAAACGACTTTAATAACTCAATGAAGTCCATTTCGTCACCGGTGAACGGATTATGCAATCTCGGGCACGATCGATTACACTGTGGCCATGTACATCTTTCCAGTCGCCTATGCGAACAAACTTCAGAATTGGAACCTTTTTGTGCTTTCAGAACTGATCTTCTAGAACGTTGATTCTGTGGGGCAACATTGCTCTCACATCGCTCATTCTGTCCTTTGAATGTGCAACCTACAAGTAAAAGGGATATTAGATCGTAAGTAGGAGATATAGTAAGGACTTACATTTTCTTTCCTTGCCTCGCTCTTTCCTCCTTCTCTTTCGTCGCTTTCTTTTATGGCTGGTTCGCTCATCGTCGCTTGTGGCGTTTCGTTGTTCAAGTAAGTCAAAATTCTTGAATTTTCGATTAAGCCGATGCGAAAATAGTGTAGATTCCTCGGACGCTATGGAAGGTCCCCGATTGTGCTTCTTTTTTCGAGGTTTTAAATGCTGCCTTTCCCAACAGTAAAGTGCCTGTGGTAGCGAAACGTCTTCAATTTTAACATTAAGCCAATCTTTTTTTGTCAGGACTGAATGAGAAATGCAAGAAGGGGCGAATACGGCTGAAACATTTTCAAAGCTTTGACGTAAAGCGTCTCCCATTTTGTGAATGTAATCCCACTGCTGCTTCGTAACTGGAGCACCTACATTGTCAGCGTTCATTTGAACCTCATCAAACAGCCATTGGAATATGAAGAGAGGCGCTACAAAGTATTGGATTACATAATGAACAGCATACCAATCGAAGTACTTACTTTTCAGAGTTGGGTATAAACGGTAACCAAAGTAGCAATTCCACGGCTCGCTTCCGTAAATCTTACGACACCTTTTGGGTACCTTGGCGTGCCAAAGCTGCATGCCCTTTCGAATTGCGTCTACAGCTGGCCTCAACGTTGGAGCGTATGGGGTGCGGTCTAGAAACCAACCAGAATCGGCCACGCCCCGCACCTCAATTTGTTTAAGATTTAAAACATCGTTTAACAGTGCCCTAGTAGGGTCCAAATTGATCATAACCCCTACCGCACCGGCGCTGCTTCCCGTTAGCAAAAGTTTTGTACTGTTCTTTAAACCAAGAGGCACTAAATCTTTTACTACTTGTTGTACTATTAACGTTCCCATAAAAGTAAACATTTCATCGCGTGATTTTCGAGAACCGCTCCAAGAATCGCTGGTGCAATATGGCACAAACACATGATTTGCGTTCCACCAGAAGGGATTTTCCTCTTCATTGGGTGATAAAATCCCACCTTCTGCAAACCAACAATTTTAGCGAAAGAGTAATTGGACAGGTACGTTACCATTTCTCGTTTCCGGCCATTGCGAGGAAGTCATAAAATGCCTTTGACGCAACCATCGATTTCGACACGTCTGTTGATCGAAGCAGTACCAACCGCCTTCTAGGTAAATGATCCAGGTCTTACTCGAATGCGACTTTCTTAAGTAGAATCTAAAACGTACTCGTGTGTGACAAACTGCCGACACACATTGTGGATGATAGTGCTTACCCTGCCTGCGAGCCATCGTTGCATGTAATTGATCGATTAGACAAAAACACCTTCTTCAGTAACCGTGTCTCTTCATTGTCTTTAATTTCCGAAGTTTCATAGATTCTTTGAATTGTGTTCGTACTGATGGGGCTCTCCAGTACAACATTACTGTTCGTGCCTGCAGGAAAAGCGTATATCATACCCGTCCATAACACGATCACCTGGAAAATGGAGAACACACCTTACTAAAAACTAGGTGTTTTGTCAAGGCGGACGAAATCCACGCATGACTGCCTGGCCTAAAGTATAAATTTTATCCGGTAGCCGATTCCCTTTGAGATTATATACCGTCACATTTTTTGTAATACTTAGCTGAGGTCAAAATTTGTTTAAAATACGGTTTGCTATGTGGGTTAGTCTTGGCGTTGCGGAATGTATCATAGTTTTTACATCTATTACTTGCGATGTCACGGTTACGCCGTGTTTATTATACAATGTTATTATATTAACTGACATCAAATGGCACATGTTTTGCTGCATAATTTTTGCTAATCCAACTACGTTAACTATCCTTTAGATTTACTCGTACCTATTAGTATAATTGGATTACCTCAGCCTACTTCGCCTTAAGGCGGCGGTCTGTTAATTTCATTACGTTACTTTGGTAACTATATTAATGTTTAGAAAATATCGAAGCGCTTGGAGAACCGTAGAATGAGAATTAAGCGAGTTATTGCGGGCACAAAAAAAGTGCTTGCGGTGTCAAAATTTGGGTGACTTTGATAGTACAAGTCAAATCGCTGCTTGAAATTTTATCGTTTCACTTTGGCACGGTTTAAATTTCTATAATATGGGATTATTTGCTGAAAGCTCTGTTAATAACTCAATGCAGTTTCAGAAAAAAAGTCTAACACGTTGATATTCGCGTACGAACTTAGATCCAGAGATCGCAGCCAGTCAACGCAACACTCAAGTATTACTAGCCTTGGCCCATGGCAAACAAAACTTGTACTGTATGCTCTTTAGCTTCCTAACAATTTGTCACTTGTTTAACACCATGTCAAAAGTATAACAAAAATCGAATATCGAGGAGGTCTCTCCGGTTGGGTAGGTTGAGTGGGGAAAATTAGCTGTGTTTCCGTTTAGATCTAATGTTAAATTGAAGGCTAAAAAATAAAGCGTAGGCATTACCTATAAATTCCAGGGGCCTGATCTTTCAGAGTCTATTCGAGTATAATATAACATAAATTTAATTACCTTATGTAATATTAATTATTAATGAATTTGTAACACACCTTTACACAAATTTATAACAAGTAAATTTATCACATAAGGGCGCAACTGCTATACACGTTTCAATTTGCTTATACAAGTAAACGTAACGAAGGTTTCTAGAAAAATCACGGAATATTCTCGAAGAGTCTAGAAAGCGTTACACATTCCAAGGAAAGAAATCGTCGCATCCGCTTTCATTCCACATCACCGGAGACTATAGCCTTTAATCGAATTGATGGCGCCTCGATTGCTGAATACATTTTTCGGTTCTTATTTTCCTTGCAACAAGGAAAGTACATTTTATTAAGCGTTATATGCCTGCATTTCTTAGACGATGTGTGCCCATGGCTTTTGTATTAGTTGTTTTAAAGAACGTTCGGCTATATGAAGGAAAATGTCAAAGGTATTTAAATCTTCTATATTTTGGTGCATTCATTCAAAACTTTAAAGCAATGCTGCGATTAAAAAGTGGAACAGATTTGGAAGCATACCCTAAATTACGCGCGTTTGTGAAAGCTTCAACCAAAGGATAGGTACAAAAGCCAAAGAAATGTTCTGCATTTACAGAAAGCGACCTAAGAGGATTTTTTATTTCATCCAGATGACAGTTTCAAAAGTCATACTTGAAGTATCGTTACTTAGCAACTTTAAAGCACGTGTGTTTTAAAGGCCCTTTTTCGCACGCATTTGAGTGTTTAAAACGGAGATTGTGATTCAGGTATAATAAAAAAAATATTTTGATATTGTAATTACTACAGCAATAATGTATCCACATAATCTCTGCGTTCGTTTTGTATTTTTAGCAAAGCTGGGGAAAATTGCATCTATGGCAATAATTTATATGTGTTTGTATGTTTTTCGTGCATGTATATTTTAGAAAATTTGCATTGCTGATCATATTTCAACCCAATAGGTTTAGTTTAAAATTAAAAATTGCTCACATCGAGCACAATATTTACCATGCAAAATTGAACTCGATAGGAAATGTCGCATTAATTTGTATAACCCCAGATTAAAAATTCGATATATCTATTAATATTGCCACGAAAAACTGCGGAGTAGGCACAAATTAATATGCTAATTGATTTTCGCTTTAAATGTGGGCGGAACAAAATATAGGACGTTAAAGAAAGCTTTCTTTTGTTGCTACATTGTGAATGTGTCAAAACGTTTTTGTAATTTAGAACTGTGAATCATAATAGATGTTGAATAAATGCGTTAATCATTTATGTAGTGGTTGTAGGTTTGTAGACTTCAATACAAAAATTCGGAAGTGTTTTTCGGTGTGGTAACTGTAACAAATCGCCATTATTTTAATCTCAGTATGCATATTTTGAAACTCGGATTTGAACTATATGATAGCACTGTAGGTAGTAGTTTAGCAAATTGTATTAATATGCCCTACTTTATTGTTTCTTTTATTAGATTGTGGGCGTGTGTCACTTTCCAGTTTTTTTGTGATTATTGTTTAAATAAATAAATCACAAAGAAAGATTAGAACGTCTGGAAGAAATATATTTATTGGTGATGTCAAAACTTTAAAAGCGAATATCTATAAAACGCTTTGACGGAGGAGAGTACTCACAAAGGCAAAATGAATCGTCTGGACATGACATGTGTATTGGTGAAGACGAAGCGAATATCTTGAAAACGAAGTGTCGGAAGAGGGTACTCATCAAGGGAAGTGGAACGCCTGGACGCGACACATCCACTGGCAATGTGAAAACTTAAGGGAAAGGGAAAGGGAAAGGAAAAGAGAAAAGGAAATATTTAGGAGAATTTCTCTAAAGACTTCATTCTTCTTGCATTATATAGCGTATATTTTGAATGTATGCCAAGCGCCCTTTAAAAGTTTGTGTCCCCTCCCAATTAATCATCTAGCAAAAAGGTACACATCGATAAATATAGCTTGATACTACTTTATATCCCAACTATTTACTAAACTATTTCGGTTTAAAACCAGTTATCAAGTTCTTGACAGAACAGCTTCCTAGCTCAATGCAAAACAAGCGCTTTTAGAAGAGTGTCTTCAAAAAATAATAAGTTTAGACAAAAACGTTTCCCACGAAAGTTGATTATTTTCCAATGTAGAATAAGAATATTCAAGGTTTCTATTTGAGTTGTCAGGTAAACTCCTACCTTTCCGACATTGCAATTATCTTTGGTCATAGTATAACATTAAGAAAATGCCCTCTAGCGCCTTTATTTTAAACTCGGCGTAAAAAGTGTAAGAGCCTTTTTTTTTAGATTTCATCAAGACATTTAACATTTTTCGCTCTGATGCTTACTTTTAGAGAAAAATGCAAATTTAGAAAAATAAAATATATAGTTTAACTTTTGAATTCAAAACTTCTCAAAAACAAACGAACTCACAAAAAAATTGTAATAGACTTTTTTGTAGAGTTTTTTAAGTCATTTTGGCCAGTGTATGGGAAAAAAATTTCAAGCCGTTATGGATCTTTTAGACTTTTGACACTCTCAACAACCATGAAGATGGTTACGGATCAAAACCAATATACAACGATGTGTCACAAGTATGGGGTTGCCATTTAGGATTTTTGAAGAGGGAGGCTGGGGGGTTAAGAGGGGTGGGGGGTTGCAATTTTTAGCCCCAATATGGGGGATTATGTTAAGTTGTCGCTACTCTCCTAGAGCTTAATTTACATTTGGCAAGTTTACTGGCGGACAGTACTTTCTACCAGTAAACTTGCTATCGAATTTCTATTTAGGTACACTCTTGATAATTTGCTAGATCAAGTAGTGTTAAAGTCGTTGGTATACTGCTACTGGTACTTTTCCGAATATTTAACTATAAGTAGAACCCTTCGATGAGGGTGGGGGGCGGGTTAAAGCTGGTTTTATCTTTCATGGTATTCTAATTAAAGGTCTCACCAAAAGGAATTGTTTTCCACCAACTACCGCCCTTCTTTCTTACCATTATCAAAATAAGGTGAGGAGGCGGAACTGGTTTTATTCTTCATTGTACTCTAATGAAAGGTCTCAACGAAAGGAATTGATTTCTACCAACCATAGTCCTCCTCCTCGACCCCTTATCGTAATGGGATATAATTCCTTATATCTTTTGTCGGAGTAGGATGTAAAGGATACAAATGGCGATTGGGACGTATGGCAGAAATATCACTGAGAAAAAGGTTTATTTATAATAAATAAAATGTATTTACTGTTAATAAAATTCATATTTAAATATCAGTTATCAAATATTATTTTATTTTGAAATAATTGTTTGTTACAAGTTTGTAAATATGTGTAACTTGAATACAGCTTTATAACTATTACCAAAAGATTTATTAAATTTCTACTTCTTATTTATTAATTAATAATATATGAATTTAATAAATACTATCTATGAACAGTTATAGTTGTCAATATGGTAAACTTTAATACTAGGCATTGTTTTTTATGGTAAAGGGGTTTAGTTAATACATACCATAAAATTTGTTAATTATTGCCATTCATTTATTAATATTTAATGTGTCAATTTCACAGCAACCATATCGGTTTATTTGTAAACATGTTTAACTTTAATGTTTAGAGTTGTTTCTTTATAACGAAGAATTTTAGTAAATAAATACTTTCGATTTGTTTGCTACTCCAGGCTTTTATTTATACTTAATACATAGTACATTTTAATAATAATGCAGATCTACAGCTAAAATTAAGATGTTAACAATTAAAAAACGTTTCTTTTAAATAAGTATACATACGTATCTCGCCATTGAGTGGCGATGCCAAAACGTGCAGTGCTAATATCGCGAGAATGGAAGGTCGGAAGTATGTACTTAAAAAGGACTATTGAAACATCTGGACTAGGCATATGTAATGGTAGGGTTAAAGTTTTAAGTGCGAATATGTCGAGAACTGGTGTCTGAAGATGTTACTCACAAAGAGCGATTGGGGCGTAGGAGTGTTAAGAAAATGCGCAAGG